AGGAGAGGAGGGGGGGGGGGGAGTGAGGAACGCGGGGCGCTGTCTCTTCAAAACGAGGGCCCGACTCCGCGGGATGGCTGGGGAAAGAGCACGCGACGTCACAGTTGGTCGCCGCGGTCTCGCGCGGGAATGTATATCACCCAAAACGCCACCCACGTGCCCTTAGGACGATCTGCGTTTGGCTAAGACGACGCGTTCGCCCACGTGGCACCCCAGCGGGCGCCCGCGCGGGCCCGCGCAGGGCCCCGCGGGGGAACGGTTGGAATGCAGCGGGTGTCTTTCCAGAGCTCCAAAGTCCAGCGGGTGCACCGTTGCGTTCGGGCGGTTGGCGGCGCGCTCGGTGCGGCGTCTAGCTGGGCACCCACGAAAGCGCGGGTTTCACCTTGTGCGCGCGGCGAACATGTCGGGCCCATCCAGGGGCCAGGCAGGGCGTGGGGCCGTGCCCGCAGAGAGGCGATTGGGCTGGTTTCGGGCGTGCAACGGCGCGCGCGGCGCGGCGCCTCGCTCGGGCTATATGGGGCATTGGGCGCGTCGCGGCGCGCGCGGCGCAGCGCCTTCGATTTGCCATGATGGGGGCGCGCGCGTTCGTTGGCGCCCGCGGCGCGCGCCCCGCTCTGATCTCGGATCGGAAGCATCGGCTCGCCACCGCCGCCCAAACTCCGAAGATGCACGCTTGGAAGGGGTGGCGGGCAGACGCAAGTCGGAATCCCACCAGCCCTCTGGGCGTATGTGGTTTAGCGAGTGGTGCGTCTCTCTGCCAAAACCTCCTTCCCTTGTTCGGGGGGTGCGGGGGGGAGGGGGCGCACCACTCCCCCTACCCCCTGCCCTGGATCTGGGAGGGGGAGGGGGGAGGGGGCTCGACGCATTAGAGCGCCCAATATGACCCAAGGTTGCTCCAAGGGTGCCCCAGAAGATAGCCCAAGATGGCTTCCAAGATGACCCAATATAGCTCAAGGTGGCCCAAGATAGCTTTCGACGCACATCCAAGATGCTTCGAGACGGCCCTGGGAGGGTTTCCAATGTCTTTCGCGTCCTTCAATTGCCCTCCCAAGAGGCCCGCATGATTCCAAAACCTAGGGACAACCAATGCTGCTTGCCTTCTCGCACGTTCGCCCCCGACGTGCTCTCAAGGCGCCAATAAGCCGCGACATTGCCCCGGGGAGCCCAAGGTGCCCACGGCTGCCCAAGGCGCCCCCCCCCCCCCCCCCCCCCCCCCCCCCCCCCCCCCCCCCCCCCCTCCCCCCCCCCCCCCCCCCCCCCCCCCCCCCCCCCCCCCCCCCCCCCCCCCCCCCCCCCCCCCCCACCCCCCCCCCCCCCCCCCCCCCCCCCCCCCCCCCCCCCCCCCCCCCACCCACCCCCCCACACCCCCACCCCCCCCCCACCCCCCCCCCCCCCCACCCCACCCCACCACGCACACACGGGCGCCCAAGAACGCCCCAAGAAAAGCTGCAACAGTCGGCCACAATGCGCTTCTGTGGGTTTCCAAGGGGTGCGGTCCGAATTAACGCAACCCTCTTGCGTTTCAGCCGCAGCCCCCAATATGGCCCGACGAGGCCCCCCGAGACGCCCAGAAAGAGCCCCAAGAGGGCCCAGGGGCCCACACAAAAACAAGCCCCAAGAGGGCCCACGAGGGCCCCCAAAAAAACACCCAGAGCGCCCCACGGCGGCTACACAAGGCATCCGAGACAACGCTCCCGAGGCGGTTGTTGCACACCCTGCTGGCCACCAACACCGCCAGCACCAGCAGCAGCACCACCAGCACCACCAGCAACATCAGCACCACGCCAAACACCAGCAACAGCATCCGCAGCAACACCAACAGCAACGTCAGCAGCATCACCAGCAGCACGAGAACCAGCAACACCAGCCGCAACATCAGCAGCACCAGCAGCAGCAGCAGCATCAGCGACAGCCCAACCACGACCAGCAATAGCACCAGCAGCAGCATCAGCATCACCAGCAGCGCAAGCACAGCAGCAACAGCAGCACCACCAGCAGCAGCAACAGCACGAGCAGCAGCACCAGACGGATCGGTCCCGAGCTTGACCCATCGAGGTGACCGCGGGTTGGCCCCAAGTTTTACCCCCCGAGGTGACCACGGATCGGTCCTGAGCTTTACCCCCCGAGGTGACCACGGATCGGCCCCGAGTTGTACCACTCGAGGTGGCCACGGATCGGTCCCGAACGTTACCCCTCGAAGTGACCACGGACCCGTCCCGAGCTTTACAACACGAAGTGGCTTCGATTCGGTCCCGAGCGTTACCCGCCGAGGTGACCACAGATCCGTCCCGAGCTTTTTACCCCTCGAGGTGACCTCGGATGGGCCCCGAGCTGTACCCCTCGAGGTGACCTTGGATCGGTCCCGAACTTTGCCCACCGATGTGCCAGGATGGCCCCAAGATGCGGGTGAAGCACCAGCAGCAACCAGACAGCACCGACAACAGCACCACCAGCATCACAAACATAACCAGCAACAGCACAAGCGGCACCCCAGCATAATGAGAAACCACGCAAGCCAGCCAGCAACACCAGCAGCGGCACCAGCAGCGGCGCCACCAGCACCATGAGCAACACCACCAGCACCACCGCCAGCAGAAGCACCGCCAATCTGCGCTTCCAGGGCTCTCCCACTGTACTGCTGTGGCCCGTGATACCGCCGTGGCATAGGAAACTATATTAAGTCACAAACTGTATGTTCCAGCTGGTTTTGCGCCCCTTCAACGCGCCTCCGAAACGGCTGTGTGACTGCGTCCTTCCAAGAATCATTGGCTAACCAACTCACTTGGCAATCGTTTCTGGGTGGGCTGGTGGGGGCACGCGAAGCGTCAACATGTTTTGCCATGTCTCATGAGGGGCCCCTTGGGCCTTGGGGCAAGATTGGAGGCCTCTTGGGATGTCCTTGTGGGGCACCCTGGCGGCCTCTCAGGCCGTCGCACGGCAACCCTGCGCCATTTTGGGTCTCGTTCGGGCCGTTCCCAGGCCCTCCTGAAGAACATCTTGAGTCGGATTGGCTGCGCCTGCGGCCGTATTGCGGCCAGATTGGGTTTTCGTGAGTACCGTGGGCCTTCATGGGCCGCTTGTCCTAGTCGAGCCGACGCTTCTCTGAGCCCGCCGGGTGTCACTAGTCAACTCCTGGTGCAATCACTGGTATGGTAATGCAGTTAGCAGCGCAAGCATTGATTGGGTGGTACAGCTAGCGGTCGCATAACTCGGACCCGCCGCAGCGCCTATATGGGCGCCGAGGCGTGTTGGACAGGCTCCGATGCCCCTCCCTGGCGGACCCAACGCCGACCCCAGACGCCCTGCAACGGCCTCAAGACGACCCGCCGCGTCCCCAGACATGCCCCCACGACGGCCGTCACGGCCGCCACTCTGGCCCAGGAAGGCCGCGGCTCCCCCTGCCCCCACCCCGCACCCCCGAGGACGACACCTCTGCGTTGTAAGTCCCGCGGCGGGGGCGACGTCGGATCACCGTGAGGTGCAGATCAAAAAAACAATGGCGCCCAGCAGCCCTCTCGCGCAAATGCAACAGAAAATATCAACGTCAAGCAAACATCACACTTCACCAACGTGGCGTGAAACACATGTGTTTTCAAGGGCGTGTGGCACGCAACTCAGTACACGGATATGTTTATTTCTCTGGCTCGGACTCTTCGTCATCCCGTTGCTGGCGCTCCTGCTCGAAGATGTCCTCGGACCCTGCGAGCCCTCTGAGGATATCCCTGCCGTGCCTCCTGGTAGCATGGTCGATCGTCTTATACAAATTCCTGTGGTCCCAGGCGTCGCTGCACTCGTCAGCCGAGAGCAGCCAGGCCATGAGGTAGCCCAACGGCCTGCCTTGACCCTGCGCCCGCTTGGTCGCCCCCTTGCCACGGCGAGACACTCGGCACCGTCTCCCGTGTGCTTCACACTCGCCGCAGTACGCATAGATCTCGTTGTTCTTATAGGCGACGATAGAGCCGCCTCCAAGATGGCCAGGCAGCCTGAAACTACACACGGCCTGTTCTCGCAGGTGTGGCGGATGCTCGACGCCGAGGTCGGGGGGCTCGTCGGCGCCAGCGTCCTCCGACGAACTCGAACTCGCCGTAGACGAGCTGTCAGACGACAGCTGCTCTCGACTGCCGTCGGAGCCATCCACCGCGGCCTCGACGATGGCCTGCTCCTCCTCGACGCCCGAGGCCCCCACCTCGCCGCCGCCGCCGTCAGCAGAGCCGCCGCCCTCAGTGGCAGCGTCGCCCCCATCCGAGTCGCCCCCACCGCCATCGTCGGAGCTCTCGTCGCACGCGGCCTTGAAGCGGTCGGCCAGAGCGTGCCACTGGCTGATCCGTCGACGCCTCGGCGCGGCGGGGTCCCAGATGACATGCGTCTCGCCGTCGTGGACGGCTCTCCTGGGGGAAGGAAACGTGCGGAGTGGCTGACGCGCCCGTCCGCTCACCCCCTGACGGTGCTGACGCCTAGGGGGGCGTTCAGTTTTTCGAGTCGCGCCCAGCCGACGATGCACCGTGGACGGATTGATCGGCGGCGAGGGGTTGGACGGGCTACGCATGGGTAGTGCACAGCCAAGTTACCGAATGGAATTAGCAACGCCAGCCAGAGCGATGTCCTGGGCCATCGGGGGGCCCTGTCCAGAACCGCCCTCCGCCTCCAACGCCGCTGGATGCCATCGTCGGGCCGAGACCCCCAGGAACACTTCGAGCAAACCAAGAGTTGCGCCCTTCTCACGCCCGCTGAAAAAAAGAGTCCGAACAGAAACACTGCCTCCCAGATGGCATCCAGACGCGCCCCGAGGCCCCGAGGAGGCCGTTGACCATCCGATACTCCCGCAAGACATCCCCACCATCGCCAGGACCCCAAACACTGACGGTGCAAGCACTGATTGGGGCATTCAGCGGCGTGTGGCGGTGAGAGAACCACCACTGCAAGCAGAGGGAAGGTGAGGGCGTGCCCCCCTGACATGCATTAACAGCCCGTGTTGTCCCCTTCTGCAGTCGGGGCTCCACGGCGCCCACGACGGTGTCGTTCTCGATCAGCCCGAAGTGCGCCAGCAGCCAACGCTTCGACAAGTCGAAGATCTCGCAAGCAGCCCACGCATCAAGACTCCTAGGCAACGCCTCCAACTCCACCAAGCGTTCTCTGAGCTTCTGGTCGCCGTCCAAGTCGACGACGTACCCTGGCGTCCGCATGGGGACGTAGAAGGGCTCGAACGGGCTCCAGCTGTGAAAGCCGACGTGCATGAACGCGTAGAGGGCACCATCGTCGCACTCGGCAGCGGGGCCGCCATCCCCATCTTGCCGAACAGCCAAGCCGATGAAACAGCACACGATGAACCCTGAATCAACGTTGGACCGAAGAGCTCGAGGGCGGTATAAGCGCCGCGTGGTCTTCTCGAGGTTAGCCCTCAACTTTACCAGCGACGCCGACTCAGGGCAGCATATGCAACGGCGAGCCTCCCAGCACCTCCTGTGGACAGGTGGCTCGTCGAACACCTCGCAGTCCTTGTGCAATATTGTGCGGGACAGCCCATGCCAGAAGCGATGCAAGAGACCTCGCAACGCGCGCACTGGGCGGGTCTGCCCCGTCAGCGCAGCGAGTCGCTGCGCCCGCTGGTAGACGGAGTCGTCGGCCCACTCGGCGTGCAAGAAATTCTGGGCGCCTTCCTCGGACTGGGCGTTCCTCGGGTCGGCAACGAATAAGCTGGCGTCAGCGGCATGCGGCACCACGCGGCCCGCTGCCAGGGCCAGCTCCCGAGCGCCCGCGCGGCCGCCCCTCTCGGCGAAATCGACCACCTGCTGCTCGGCAACCTCCAACGAGCTGCAAATCGCCCCCACCAAGACACGATTACCCCGACCCCCCCACGGAGTGCAGACCGAACCGAAAAAACAACAAACACCAACGCCCCAATGTAAACAACACCGAGGAACACGTCGGTGGGGATCCGTGTCTGGTTGGGGAGGGTCGGTTTGGAGCTCGTTCGGGCCTTCTCCTCACGCCGCTCCGAGTCCGAAGAGGTCCGCAGAGCACGCTTGATGACTGCAAGGGCGTCTGCGCTCGGCCTGGCGGCCAACGCACCCGACGGGGCAGCCGCAGCAACGGCAGCGAGGGTGCGCCCATGGGCCTCCAGGGCGCGGTGCAGGGGAGCAGGCTGACCAACTCTGTCATCGGCGAGCTGAGCGCGGACGTGCATCGCGGCAACTGCCTCTGCGTCGGCGCGGGCCCTGGCCCGCTGCATCTCGCGCCGACCCATCGGAAAAGGCCTCCTCCCCTCGTTGACCTCAGCGTTGGCCTCATCCGCCTGCCGCTGGAGCTCGTCGATGTCGCCGTCGCCCAGCCTGCGGAACTTCGCCCACATCCCCGAGAAGCTGGGCTGTGCGTTGCCTTCCTGCCCGCACTCACGACTGAAGAAGACGCCGGCAGCCCGCAGCTTCCGCCTCCGCGGGGCGCTCGGGGCGCCAGCAGCGCGGGCTTGTTGCTGGCATGGCTGGTCGGCCGCAGGGCTGCTTGAGCTGGGTGTCCGAAGCTGCCGAAAGGCTCTCGCCAGCCTGCGGAACCCTTGGCCGATCCATTCGACGTTGATGCGGGAAAGGCTGGCAACCCACGTGTTGACCGATCGTGAGGCGATGATGCGTCGCAAGACGCCTTGGCTCCACTCCTGCTTCACTGTGTCCTCATGGAGCAAGCTAGCCACGTGCATCAAGTCATGCCGCGCGTCTGCGATGACCCCGTGCCTGTGGTGCCTGCAGAACTGCAGCGACCAGGGGTCGAGCAAGCAATCCTTCTCGTCGAGAGCCGCCTGCATGGCATCGTCGCTGCGGATACCAGCAAACGTTTTATTTGGATACCATGTTTTCTCCAACTTGATAAGTGATGTCGTGCAGACGGCCTGAGATAGCAAGCGGAACGCAGTGCACTGCAACCTCAGAGTCCTGCATCGCAGCGGGATGCTCTCCCAATGAGCGGAGTCTGACATCAGAAAGAAAGCGTTGTCAACCAGACGAGTCTCCAACTCCACATCGTAAGCCTCCAGAACTTGATACATGAAGGTGCGGCCATGGTTGCCCTTCAACGCCTGGGATGCTGACGCTTTCTGTTTCAACTTCTTATGGTCACCACAAGAGTAGATCAGCCCACCGATGAAATCGCGGTGCAAGTTCGTTGTTCTCAGCACGACGACGGCAGTGGATAGGACTTCATCTGGGCCAATAGTAGCTAAGTGCTTCGTGACGGTACCCCTATGGCTCTTCTGTTCGAGCTTTTTCAACTCTTCCTGCGCTGCGACGGTGAGATGCGGCACGCTCATGCCTGCTGGGTTCGAGTCCAGGACCGCTTGGAGCGCGCCCTTGCCGTCTAGGTCAACTCTCGGATGTGCGCCCTTCTTCTCGCTGGGATAATACACGGCAATCCACTTGCTCCATGCGTCGGCAAATATTCCCAAGCCCTGCAAAAGAATGAAATACTCCACTATCTCTTCGCACCCATTCCACTGGCGACAAGGAAACGAACGGGGTGCCCGCGGACATATGGCTGTGAGGAAATCGCGGGACAACAATTGCCGAACTCGTTCTTCAGATCTGCATCCGTTGGGGGAGTTCGCAACGTGAATGAGCCTGGAGCCGTCGATGCCGCCGTTGATCGTAGCCCATATGACGCTCCGCCTCCACACGTTCTTGCGGGTGCGGGGCGGCACCGCAAGGTCGAGGAGGTGCTCGAGACGTTTCACATGCACTGGCAAGCAGGCCCCCTCCGCCAGGTAAGTGAACCGACCAGGCGCAAGTATAAGTTTCTTAACCTCTCTCCGAAAAGTGTTGCTGTTGTAGGCCCTGCGCATCACAAGGGCGAGATTGGTGTAGAACTCAATTTCTCTGGGCACTTTTTTCTTGAATGGCTCCTTCTTGCAATTTGACGCTCTATGGACGCAACACAGCTTATGTAGCAAGTGCATGTCGGGGTAGACACATGAGCGGTGACGCTCAGCTCTGATGAACGCCCTGTCTCCGTCTGTGGTCGTATTCCTCTGGTGGCGGGCGAACTTCTGAGCGATGCGGTCTGCGTCGGCCAGGCGGGTCTGGTGCAGCACGGCGTAATAACATTCTCCAGTTGTATTCGAAACCACTTGAACAGGGGTGCAGAGACTGAATGAGAAGCTGACGTATGAGGAAGGTTGGCCGCCGCTGCCCCGCTTCACAAACAACATGCCATAGTTCCATTCGGTGTTGACCAGTTTCGCCCTCTCGTCAGCATCGTCGGGCAAGTCGTTGTATATATTGCCTTCGTCGTTCGACCCCGTGGCGCCCCTCGCAGGCAACTGGGTCTCATCTGAGCGAACGGCCTCTGTGAAGACCAGGCCTACGGCGCCCCCAGCAATACAAGTATCGTACACATGCTCCATCAATCTCACGACGGAGTGGCGATCGTACAACACAGCAGCGGCAGCCGTTCTCTCTTCTACACTTTGAAACGCGTTCAATGATATGCCAAACATGTGTGCAGATGCAGAGGCTGACATCATAGTTGTTTTTTCTCTCAATACATACTCACCGATCTCCATGTGCGTCTGGTCCAACAACCCGTCTAAACTTATGTTGTTGGCGATTGCATCGCCCACCTCTAACACCAGGCGTCTGAACGACTCTGCATCTGAAACCACGAAAGGGTTAATATTGGCTGGAGCTGCGCCGCCGATGCTGTCCTCGGGTCCGCCGTCGACGGGGTCGACCTGGCTCTCGAGCTGCTGCGCCCCAGACCCTGGCGGCGCCAAGATGCCGCCGTGGTGTGTCATCACATCTGCGAGCACAGCGTTCACGGTTCTCCGACGTGGACGGCCGCGCCCGCTTTGAGCGGGTGGGACCTCGACTATGGCATCCACGGGCGGGGCTTCGACGATCATGTCATCAGCAGCTATGGCGGCGGCGTCGGCGCCCTCGGGCGGGCCGTCCACGTCATCGTCGGTCGGAGATCCGAACAGTGACCAACCTGACAAGACTTCTGACGGGCCGCTGCTGCTCGACTCGCCGCCGAGATCTGAATCCAACAGTTGGCGACGCAGCTCCAGCCAGTCACCGCCCGTGCCACACATCAAGGGCCCGAACCGCACTCACACATGAGTGAAGGCTGTGAAACAAACAAAAATGAAAGGCTTGTTTGAGCCAAAACGGTTACGGAAGCTCCCCCCGCCAAGGCTCTCCGAACAAGCCCCAGAGACACATTCGTAAAGTGCCCCGCACGTTCAATCCTATGGCGCTTCTGGTGGCCGCCATGAGTTCTTAACCTCGAATGGGCCCACGCAGATGAGATGGGGGGTGCGCCCGATACTCCTTCGCAATTCACTCTGTTATGACGCACCCGCTGGAGACAACCTCACAATTTGATCTGGGATTCGGCTCCCGCTCGAGACTGACGTCACCAGCACCAGCGAAAAACGCGCCAGGCACCCTACGGAGCGCGACGATACTTGTGAGAGGATGATGGCGGGGCCATCGTGAATGCATAAAAAGTATACAACGAAATGCCATACGGGTTCGGAGCGAACAGGAAGGGATAATATACACATTAGCACACGCATGTGGAGGACTCGCAGCCATGGTGGAGGACAACGCAAAGAAAGAGGAGGAGGAGAGGGAGGATATAGATGGTGGCGATGGTGATCACATGGATACCGCGAGTTTGGTTGTGGTTGCGGGGGGGGCGGGGTTTGGTTGCGGTCGCGGGGGGAGGCGGCAGCTGCGCCGATAGGGTCGCCGCAGCTGCGGCTGGCCCCATCGGCGCAGCTGCCGCCTCGTGGCACCTCTGCCCACGGGCATTTCGTGAGGGGCTATGTTTTGGGTTCGCTGTTTTGTAATCTGAATTCGTACATTTCGAATAAGATTTGCATAGTTTGGGCCTTTCTGCCCAGCGAGCTTACTGACGAGGCCAGGAAGTCTCTGCCCAAGAGGGACCCAAGAGGACCCAAGTGATTTTCCGAACGCACTGGATGATCTCGGCGATCTCGCAGGTTCAGCTTGCCAACACCCCAAAAACGCCCAAGAGGCCCCAAGATCGCGCCAAAACGGCTCAAGAGGCCTCAGAAGCGACCCCAAAATGGCCCAAGAGCACCCAAGAGGCCCCCAAGAGCGCAAAAGGGCCCCCAGAGAAGGAACACGAACTGACATGTCGAACCCTCCGCCACAAGATTACCCCAAGACCACCACGCAGAGACCCGAAGAGGCCACGAGAGGCCCCCAAGAGGCCCCCAGGAGACCCTCCAAGTCCTCGAGGCTTCCGAAAGGCATCCCAAGAGACCCTCGTATGCACGCCAAAGGCCCCCGGGTCTACCACCAAGGCAAGGTGGCGGGATGGGCCGGATGCCTCTAGATAGAGGTGTCACGTTATTCTGTCTCTGCACTAGTCTCGAAGTGCTCTTCAGACCGTTCTGGGACCATCGTCGGCCTCCATTCGCACGCTCCTCGGCTACCTCGCGGCCTTCCCAAGGCCTCATGATGCCCCTTCAGGGTCGGCGGAACCGACCGTAAGGCCCCTCCAATTTGGAAGTCCCGATGGGGTCTGCATCTCTGCCGCACTTATGGGCGCGCTGGCAGTTCGGGCGGGGCAGCTTGATGGCAGACGACTAATCCATCTTCCCGGCGCGATTGCTTAGGCAAGCGTCTTACCGCGAGGTGACGAGCTCCTCGGGCGGCGCTTCCCCCATGGCAATGCGTTGACCTCCTCGACTGTCAGATTACTGCTCTGCTGTCCCAGCGAGGCTCTCGGCTGGTGTTCAAAGTATGCAATGTAAATTTCAGACATCGCTGTGGTCGTCGCTGTCGCCGCCGCCACGGTCAAGCCGCAACCTGGGCCGCCGCCTGGGCCGCCGATCGGGTCGGGCGAAAGGGGGGGATAGCAAAGGGGGGGGGGGGGAGAATCAGCTCACGTAGCTGATTTTCCCGGCGCCTCCCGGCGCCGGAGGCGGCTGTGTATCGAGGAATGGGCCCCTCGGTGGGGCCGAAACCAGCTGCATGCAGCAAATTTCGTAACCTCCTCGGCGGTGGACAAACCTCCCTTTAGTAAACCTCCCTTCAGTGAAAACGGCCTGGGACCGAAACCGACGGACCTGGACCCGCAAAAATAACGGCCGCGGCGCCCTCTCGCGAACCGAGAACGGGCAGTTCACTGATCGACGTGTCAGGATAATTAGGAGGTCCATCAACCCCCGACCCCCCCTTTCCCAATCCCCCCCCCTTTCGTCCGGCCCGAGCCGAGGGCCGCCGAGGGCCGCCGAGGGCGGCCCGGGGCAGCCGAAGCCGCCGTCGTCGCCGGCATCGCCGCCGTCGTCGCCGTGCGAGCCACGTGAGCGCGGCCCTCGGTGCGCGGCCGCCGGGGGCGCCCATGGGGGACCAAACGGAAGGGGCGCCAGGACACACAAATAGATACACACAAATTTCAGGAGTCCCCATATTTCCCCAGGTTTTCTCGGTTTCTGGCTTCCCCCACCTCCCACATTTTCCCACATGTTCCTGGGAATCGACGATGAACTGTGTCTGTGTGTTTTTGTCCCCCTCCTGCTGAACCCAGGCACGCAGACGGGAGAGCGAAGCCTGCCTTGCTTCTGTGCGAGGGAGGCCCCTCGAGGGGCAACGAAGGGGGAGGGGGGGGACTGCCTCCGGAGGGGGCACCTCGCCCTGGAGCCGGCGAGGCACCGCCGAGAGGTCCGCGACGGGGCCCCCATGGCGAATCCGCCCGTGCCTGGGCGGGGTGGGCCCTCGGGCCCCCAGCGCCCATCGGCGATGGGTGGGCGGTTGGGGCTCGCTGCATTCCCCCCTGAGCCTACCCCTAAAACAGGGCTAGGATCGGGATAAATCGCTCCAGAGCGTTCCGGAACGCTCTGGAGCGGCCGCGGCGCCCAAGACATCCTCCAAACCCGCCGATTCTCAGAGCTTTCGAGTTGTCCCGATCCGATTTTGTCCCGACCTTCGCGTCGTTTTAGCCGTGCTTGGCGGCGCGCAGAGGGGGGAAGGGGAGGGGGGAAGGCCTCCTAGAAGGAGGCCGACTCTCAGGAGGCGCCGGCCTCACGCCTACAGACAGGGCCCGCGCCTTCTAAGAAGCAGGGGGGCTTCTATGATAGGGGGCAAACGAACCTACCTCGCTTTTGACCACCCTCGCTTCCAAGAGCTACCAAGCGATGCCAAACTACGGCCCGCACTGGTCAGGCCGCTCGACGGGGAGGCGCGTGGCATGACTTGGTTTTGCCTGGAAGCGAAAGCGGGGCAGGTCGTTCACGCTTTGATATGCAGCCTGCCCCCCTCCCCCCGTGCCCCCCTCTGCGCGCGGCCGACGTGCCGTGGGCCCCGCGCAGGAAAGGCCGCTCGGGCGACAGGCCGCTCTCGTGCGCAGCCGAGGGAGGGCCGGCCAGGAGGAGGAGGAGGAGGAGGAGGAGGAGGGGAGGAGGAGGGAGGAGGAGGAGGAGGAGGGGGAATGGGGAAGGGGACGGGGGAAGGGGGAGACGAGGAGGAGGAAACGATGAGGAGAGGAGGAGGACGCGGAGGACGAGGAGGAGGACGAGGAGTAAGGACGAGGAGGACGAGGAGGAGGAGGAGGCGGAAGGAGGCAGGGAGGAGGATTAGGAGGAGGAGGAGAGAGTAGGAGGGGAATGGGGAAGGGGGCGGGGAAGGGGGAGGGGGAAGGGGGAGGACGATGAGGAGGACGGAGGAGGAGGAGGAGGAGGAGTGAGGGGTGAGGAGGAGGTAACGAGGAGGACAGCTCCTCTGGGCCTAAAAAAAAAGAATCGGTCCTCTGGCGGCCGCCGCTGGACGCCCCCTTGGCCCCGCCCCCCTGGGGATCGCCGGCGGCGAGGGCGCAGCCGATGGAAAGCGACCACCTGCACAGAACCACCCCAAGGCCAAAGCCCAAGACTACTCCTCCTCCTCCTCCTCTCCTCCTCCTCCTACTCCTCCTACTCCTCCCCTCCTCCTTCCTCCTCCTCCTCCTCCTCCGCCTCCGCCTCCTCCTCGCTCCTCTCCTCCTCCTCCTCCTCCTCCTCCTCCTCCTCCGCGAGCTCCTCCTCCGCCATCCTCCGCCTCCCTCCTCCTCGCCTCCTCCTCCTCCTCCTCCTCCTCCTCCTCCTCCGCCTCCTCCTCCTCCGCCTCCTCTCCGCCCTCCTCCTCCTCCTCCTCCTCCTCCTCCGCCTCCTCCGCCTCCTCCTCCTCCTCCTCCGCCTCCTCCGCCTCCTCCTCCTCCTCCTCCTCATCCTCCTCCTCCTCCTCCTCCTGAGGCCCTGCGACGCCAGGACCTCCAGACCTCCAGGGGTACCCGGTACGGGCTTCAGATGTGTTTTCTCAGCGTTCCCCGACCCCCCCCCCGCTGGAAATGGAGGGCACATTTGGGCCTTCGGGTCGGGTTGGGGCGGTTTGGTAGGTGGTGGGAAACCGCCCTGGGCCCAGGGGACCTCGAACACTTTCGGGAACCACTTGGAAATCCTTCTGGCACTCCTGAGCGCTCTCGACGAAGCACCGATGATGGAAGCCACCCCGGGTGCCGGAAACCTCTGGCCTGACTGTCAGAGGCCCTTCGGGAACCCTCTTTGGGAACCTTCGCAGGCCCTTCGACAAACTCCCGCAGACGTTCGCTTACTGTCGCGGGCCCTCCGGGGACCTTCGGGCCGTCGGCAGCAGAGGGCGCCCGAAGCCGGAGGAGGCACCGCTCCTCCACCGCCGGCACCGCCAGCGGGGCCTCGTCCAGGCCTGACGCGGCGTCGTCGCTCGGTGTCCCCCCGCGACAGAGGCCGCGCGCGCGAGGGCGCTGGCCAGCGAGGGGGGGGAGGGGAGGAAGGAAAAGGAGGAGGAGGAGGAGGAGCAAAAGAGGAAGGAGGCGCAGATCGAGGAGGAGGAGGAGGAGGAGGGAACGCCATGGAGCTCCTAGAGACCTGAGTTTCAGAACACTGCTACACTGTGCAACTGCCGACCGCTGCTACAGAACCACCTGCTGAAAACATCTCTGAAATGAGGCCTTCGCGACAGCCACGATTGCGAGATATGGAAGGCCGCCGCGCTCTGCGCATGGCTGCACTGGCCACTGGGCCAGTAACCCCATTGGCGGGCACGCAGCCCGCTCCTTTGGGAGACTGGCTCTTGGGCGCAGGGCTCGTCGTTCCCTCCTCTCCCCCGACCACGCCCCCCCCCCCACCCCCTCCCACGACCCCCCGCCCACCCCTGGTACTGCTGGAGCTTCTCGAGGAAGGCAGCAAGACTACTACAGGGGTGCCAGGGCGATCAGGGCGTGTGCACACATTGACCTTCTTGCGCACGCTGCTTAACATGTCAGCCCTACCAAAGCACGGCTGACGCGTTCCCTGAACCTCTCCGAACTTCTCGGCGTACGAAACACAGCCTGCTGCCGATCAGACGAGGAAGGTTCCTCTCCCATGGGCAGCTCGGGACCGCTCCCGTCAGAAGGCGGCCTCCCTCCAGAGAGAGGGTAACCTGTCCACTGGGCTCGCCATGAGAGAGCCCTGCTCGACGTGGCGGCAGCAGTGGAACGGCACAGTCGCCTTCGGGGGTGTGATGCGCGCGGTCTTCTGCTGGCTCCCGAGGCGGCAGGCGTCGCAGGCGCGGCCCAGGACATGCCCCTTCATATGATTGAGCTCCTCCTCGCAGCAGTACTGTCATTCCGCGATCGGCTTCCTCTCCCGATCCTCTCGTGGGACCCGCTGCCGCGGTGCGAGATGCTCAGTGCACGATCGCAGCCGCCAGCACCGTGGGGCGGGGTGGACCTCGCTCGTTGAGCAGCTCACTTGCCTCATCGTCACCGTCGTTTGCTCTCTTGTCGAGGGTGAGAGATGCGCCATACAAATCTATACAATATATATATATACACACATTGACACCCTCCTACGAACTTTGCGTGTACCTTCAATGAGGGGACGGTGTATGGCCCTCAGTAGTGATTTATACACCACCACCACCCTCCCCTGAAGCCCAGGAACAGTCCGGTGGAGGGTGTCGGTATATTCTTGCGGCTGAAAGCAAGCGTCGT